TCAGCTCGGAGGAGAACCCCCACCACGCAATCCACGCATGAGGGGTTATGCAATGGGGAGTGTTGTTGCCGTTGAAAGATCTAGGGCCATGGTATTGAGCTATGACGTATGAGTGGGCTTCAGCGACATCAAACCGTCTAGATTGAGTAGCATGTGGGCTTGAGTGAGCGACAACAGGCGGAACAAGGTGATAATGAGTGGGACCCTGATCGAGGGATGCATCCAACTGCACCGATGCTTGTTGCTGTGGCAATAGTGACAACTTTTGAGTTGAAGTTGATTCAACACTCAGTGGGGATGCACGAGTCGATTATGGGCCGAGCCAAAATTGTGGAAGAAAGGAAATCAATATGGGCTGAGGAAGGGAATTCAACCACGACTTCATGTGTAGAACAAGCTTCAGTTGAGGAAATTGGGGCGGAGACTTATGCATAAGAAAGCTGAAGATGTTCATCTTTGAAGGAGATGATGCGTATGGTTAGGTTTATCGCGTGGAGAGATGTTTTGTTGTTAATGGGTCGACAAAGGAGGAGAAATTGATAGTGGTAGACTTTTGTTTGGAAGGGAAGACTCTAGTATGGTATCAATTGATAGCATAACGTCAGCCAATCAGAACATAAGAAGATTTCAAGTATCGATTGCTTGAGCATTTCAGAACTACATGGGGAGGAGATTTACATGAGTAATTTAATATGTTATTCCGTCGTTTGAGAGGTATATCAAAAACTATATTGGAAGGAAACTTTATGAAGGGGTTGAAGCTAGAAATTTAAGTAGTGCTTCGTTTGCTAAGACCACAAGGATTGGGAGAAACTATAAAATTATCTCAGTTGGTTGAAGATAAAATGCAGTGGAACAGGCTAATTGAAGCAGCATAAGTGGACCATCATATCAAAGTGCTACAACCACAATAACACCAAAAACTCAAATTTTAGGATACTAGGGGGAGGCTCCACGAGATAGGAATAATGGATTATGATTGGGAATGACATTCAAACATCTTATAAATTTAATGATTCAAGAGAATCAATGAATTATGTTTTCAGTGTGATGACAAGTTTGCCCCATGCCCAATGACACCATTGTAAAGAGCGAACCTTGCAAGTTCTCAGAGTGTGTGACGAGAAGGATGGGATGAAGAAACAGAGGAAGTTGTGGTGGCGGATGAGGAGCACGTCCCTCATTTGGATGTGGCAGAAGTCTCATTAAAATCGGTTGTGAGGTTCACACCGAATTGCTGTATAAACCTTCCAGAACAGATTCTAGAGTTGGATGTAGTGGTATTAATAGATCGTGGAGCCACCCACTTCACCTCCACTTATGTAGTGGAGCAATTGGCGCTTGAGATGGTTGACACAGGAAGTTTTGTGGGAATGATGGGGACGAGCAGGTGGAGAAGTGCAAGGGAGTTTGTAAATGATTTATTTTGACACTGCAAAGTATTCAAGTAGTGATATAGATGATGATGTTATTAATATAATTCAAGTTCCATGGTTGAAGTGGAAGAATGAATTGGGCCTATTTTGTGATAGAAAAGTATCGCTTCGACTTAAAGGAAAATTTTATAAGATGGTGGTGAGTTTTGCAATGCTTTTTGACACATAATGTTGGTCTGTAAAAGAGAAGCATAAAACTTCGTTAAGTCTTGCTGAGATGAGAATGGTTAAGTGGATGGGTGACTTTACACTTAGAGACAATGTGAAACGAATATATTCATGGAATGGTTGGTGTTGCTCTAGTAGACAAGATTAATGAGTTATCTTCGATGGTTTCATCATACTAAGGATCAATCATCTGATGACCTAATTAGGAGAGTAGATATTTTATATTTGACTTATATTAAGAAGGGTAGAGGTAGACCTAAAAAGACTTTGGCGTGCTATATAAAAATAGATCATAATTTATTAAAATTTAATGAAAATCTAACATTCAGTAGGTCACATTGGAGAAAAATGATTCATGTAGCTGACCCCACTTGGTGGGATAAATGCATGTTGTTGTTGTAGAGTATTTAGGTGGTGGTGGATTTTCTTCCATTTGATTTAACGAGCACTCACGCGGCTAAATGGTTGCAGTCCTTAGGGGAGATTAAGATGAATTGGAAACTTTTGACATCAGAGCTTTAGAAGGGTGACAAGATAATAGTGTTTGACGATGATCATAGTCCATGCAAGACTTTTGGTGATGCTCAAGATCATGATTTGGGCAATTCAGGACTTTGGGTTAGGATTCTTGGTCAAATTGCATGGCATGAAAGAAACATATGATATTGAGTTAGCAGAGATTTCGACACCAATCCAACAAGTCTTACGGTAGTTTGTAGAAGTTTTTTCAGTTGTTATGTGGATTGCATTAGAGGGAACACAAGCATGTGATAACCTTGAGGCAGAAGGTTTCACCTATCAGTGTGCGCCCATGTCGCTATTCCCAGATGCATAAGTATGAGATCGGGAGATTGATCTGAGATATTTTAGAGACTGGGATCATACAACCTAGCACAAGTCCCTTATCTAGTTGGTCTTGCTAGTGATGAAGGTGGGAGTTAGTTTTTTTCCGTGGATTATCATGCAGTGAATAAGAAAAAATTACTTATAAATTTCTCATCTCGGTGATTGATGGTGAAGAGTTATTTTGGGCAGCGATATTTTCTAATAATAAGGTGAAGTCATGATACCATCAAATTTAGATGTGACCATCAAATGTACACAAGACTACTTTTCAGACTCATGAGGACCACTGCGAGTGTTTGGTTATGCCACTCAAGCTCACAAATGACTCGAATACATTTGAATCACCGATGAATAAGATATTTCAGCCTTTCCTATGGAAGTTTGTGTTGGTGTTTTTTGAGAACATCTTAATGTACAACTGTTTCTTGAAAGCCCATATTGAGCACTTGAAGAAGGTATTGACAATACTAAGTGAGAACCAACTCTACTCTAACTTGAGGAAGTGCTCGTTTTGCCAAACTAAAAGTGGAGTACTTAGGACTTGCAGTGTCAGCTACAAATTTTCGACAAATTGGATGTGCACAAGACTACTTTTCTGCATGTCATTCACTACGAGTTTCTAGTTATGTCATTCATGCTTGCCAACTCCCAGACTACATTCCAATCACCGATGAATAAGGTGTTTCAACATTTTCTTTGAAAGTTTGTGTTGATATTTTTTTATGACATTTTAGTGTACAACCATTCCTTTGAAGACCACATTGATTACTTGCAGGTGTTGAAGGTACTGAGTGAGCACCAACTTTATGCTAACTTAAAGAAGTGCTTGTTTGCCCAGCCAAAGGTGGAGCATTTAAGGCATGTGGTGTCAGTTGCAGGGAATTCAATGGTTCAATCTAAGTTGAAAACTATGCTAGCTTGGCCACCATCTAAGACCTTGAAGGGGTTGAGAGGATTTATGGGACTTACATGATATCATCAAAAGTTTGTGAAGAGTTACAATTTGATTGCATGACCATTGATAGAGCAATTGAAGAATGATAAATTTCAGCGGGGGGAATCGACAACTCAATATTTTCAGAAGTCAGAGAAGGCTATGACGAGTGTACGTAGTACCGACGTTATCTGACTTCAACCAACCATTCATTGTGTAGACAGATTCATTAGGCTATGGGTTTGGAGCAGTCCTCATATAATGTTAATGATTCATTGCTTATTCTAGTCAAGTGCTAACTGTGAGGCCAAACTCAAGTCAGTTTCTGAGTAGGAGCTTATGGTGATTGTGTTAGTTATTCATAAATGACGACCTTATTTGTTGGCCAGTGTTTTACAATATGCATAGATCGTCACAACTTGAATTTTTTTTAGAATAACATATGGTAACTGAGTAACACCAAAGATGGCTATCTAAGCTATTGAGGTATGACTTTGAGATTCAGTATAACTCGGGATTAGACAGTAAGGTCGCTAATGCCTTACCACGACGGATGGTGAAACCTCAATTGTTAGCATTATCAGTCCATTTGGTTTTAGATTGTGAAGTCCTAAGGTAAGAGAGTGAGGCGGATGAGGAATTGGGCAAGATTCTGTTGGCTTTGTTGAATGGCGGAAATAATTATCCTGGTTATTTTTTGAATGACCATCATTTACTTTATCGGGGGTGTTATGTATTCCCCGAAATTCAAGGCACATACCAAAGTTATTATGAAAGTTGCACGATAGCGCTATCATGGGCATTCGGGCGTGCTCAAAACATACTTGAGGATAACAACATAATTGTATAGAGTGGGAATGAGAAAAAATGTGGAGGACAACACAAGTACATAACAATAGCACTTCAGGGGTCGCTAGAATCTCTGGCATTACCAGAGAAGCTATGAGAGGATTTGGCGATGGATTTCATTGACGGCTTATCTTAGTCTGAAGGATTTACGGTCATCTTGGTGATGATGAACTTGTTGAGCAAGTATACTCACTTTGTCCCTCTGCATCATCCCTATATTGTTGTTTTTGTTGTCATTGTTTTTACACGAGTGTCTATTTGTATGGGATTGCAAAATCGATAATGTCATAGCAAGACAACGTCTTCTTGAGTCCCTTCTAAAGAGAACTATTTAAAATAGAATGGACCGTATTGAAGAGAAGTAAAACATGCCACCCACAAAATGATGGATAGCATGAAATTGTTCATTAGAGTGTGGAGATCTATTTGCATTGCTTTATTTTCAACACATTCAAGCAGGGGGCTAAATAGCTACACTGGGCAGAGTATTTGTACAACAGGTCATATCATACAACTTCTCATACCACTCCATTAAAATCTTATATGGTCGTGATCCACCTCATTTGGTCCATTATGGACATAGTACTGCGTCAATATTTTTGGTGGATCATTCTTCAGAAGAGAGGGACAAGTTGTTTATGGAATTGAATGACATTTATTAAAAGCTCAACATTTTATGAAGAAACAATCCAATGGACATTGAAGGGATGCACAACATGTGATAGGGAGATTATTCAGCGCATTTGGTGTGGTTGCTTATCATTTAAAATTGCCTCCTTCGTTGACACTCCATCCAGTGTTCCACATATTACATCTAAGAAGTGTTATTATTAATAATGTGTCATATTCTTCACTTCCTCTTACTT